TGGGCTTTTCAGTCAATCCTTTATTACTGAACACTAATGATGTGTGCAAAGTTATATGATTTGAAGACTAAAGCCAGGTGTGGCGGCACACACTGGTCATCCTAGTATTCTGGGAGGCTGAGGCGGAAGGATTGAAAACTGGAGTCCAGCCTGAGCAATTTAGTGACTTAGACCTTGTCTCAAAAAATTAAAAAAGGGCTGTGTAGCTTAGTGCTAATGTAGCTCAGTGCTAATGTCTTGGACTGAATCTTTAGTACTGCAAAGAACAAAACAAAAGCAAACTAAATAAATAAAGGAAAGACCAGAACGGCAACTCCAAACCTTGGACCCACGCAGCAGCAAATCAAACTTGCTGCCCTGGCATCTGCCCACTTGCCCATACTTAGCTGTGTATACCGACCTTTCACTGTCTCAGATCCAACAGTAGTATCCAGGAAACCAGAAGAGAACACCTGGCGTTCACTCTGATAGGATAACCAGAAGCAAAGCTGTAAACACCATCTGCCAGTTTCTCCTTCCAAATATCTGGGAATTCTCTTTGTGGACTGCTTGGTACAGTTAACGGCACCAGAAGCGCAGGGAACGGCCGAGGTCTCTGGTGACGTTTAGGGCTGGAAGGCTGGGCCCGCAGGGCTTCCTGCCGTCCAGGTGCACGTCCTTGCAGGAGGTCTGTACCCCCCTGTGTAGGCACCAGTCTCTTCCTCCTGGGGGCGGCAGCCGGGCACAGCTGTGCACTTAGGGCTCTGCACAAAGCACCCACCCGGTGGCCCAGGGAAGACTAAACGTCAGCTGTACTCCGTTTACCAAGCCGCATAACCCGGCACAGCGTCCGCTCAGGCCTTTTTGTGTCTTGTGCAGGGGGACATTTTAGGTGCATGGCTGACCTTGTCTGGCGCTCACGGAGATCATTTGCTCCTGTAATTCTGTGCTCACACATTTATCTTTCTCCTGAGACCCTGGGTGGCTGAGATCAGGTCTTGTTTAACCTGTGTTCCTGTGGCAGCCAGGGCTGGGGTATCAGTAGATTTCGCTCCATCAGCTGAATGAACTTCTGCTGGCAGGGGCCTCTTGCCCTAACGTTACGACCCTCCACTCGTCCCTCCGCTAGAATAACAACCCTGCCGGAGAGAGAGGAAGAAAATACTGTAGTTTATTCTGAGTCAGATATGCGTGTCCCTCATCCAAGAACATGGATTTAGTACATGAGCTCGTATCGTCACGGAACAAAAGAAAAGGATAAATCAATACATGTGTCAATTAAATTGGTGGGAACTTCAGTTAGGCAGGCCGTAGCAACGCTGGGAAATCTCCTCTGTAGATTTTAGATGGTAGAGCTCGCGTTCTTAGGTTTGAGGTTGAGAGAAGCTAGAAGACACCTAAGTTTAGAGATACAGCCCAGCAAGTTTACATACTAATTGCAAGTTAGGCCAGAGCCAGGTATGGTGACACACGCCTGTCACCTCAGCACTCGGGAGGCTGAGGTCGGAGGATTGCTGAGAACTTGAGGCCAGCTTTGGCTACGTAACGAGTCCCAGGCCAGCCTGGACTACATAGTGAGGCTCCATCTTTAATAAATAAAAGAATTTGCCAGGCATGGGGGGGCATGCCTGTAACCCCAGTACTGGGAAGGCCAAGGCAGGAGGATTGATCTGAGTTTGAGCCCATCCTGGGCTCTATGGCGAGACCCTGTCTCAAAAAAAAAAAAAGAATGAATGAATAAATAAATAAATAAAGTTAGGCCAGAGACAGAGGTTAAGGTACACGGCCGAGGACAACTCTGGCTTTGAGCTATACAATTCCATCGCTGCACAATCACAAGTTTTTTGAGAGGGGCACTGGTGACTGAGCCCAGGATATTCACACCGAGATACCGACTCAGCCCTTTTTTATGTTTCATTTTGAGACAGGATATGACCAAGTCACTAACCTGCCCAGGCTGGGCTCAAACTTGCAATCCTCCCGCCTCAGCTTCCCAGAGTGCTGGGATTATAGGCGTGTGCTAGCATGTTTGACTGCAATTATGATATTCTAGTCAGTCAAGGTCAACCAGTTGTAGGATCTTTAAAGTAGATGATGGTTCTTCAGAGAATTTCAGTTCACCCTATTCTAATAAATTTAATTATATTGTACTATTTTACTGAGTGGCTTTTTTTTTTTTTTTTTTTGAGATAGGCCTCACTCTACAGTTCAGGCTGGGCTTGAATCACTATGTAGCCCAGGGTTGCCTTAACTTTGTGGCAACCCTTCTGCTTCAACCTCCTGAGTGCTGGGATTACAGGCATAGGCCACTACGTCAAGCAACAGGTACATATTTATGGTACATTATAGTACATAATGATTACATTCCTAGTGGGAAGTTGGTATATATACACAACACATCTTTTTTTTTTTTTAAATTTGAGACAGAGTTTTGCTATGTAGTTCAGGTTGGCCTTGAAATTACAGAGCTCCTCCTGCCTCAGCCTTCTAAATGAGGCTGGGATTACAAGCAGGGGTCACCATGCATGACTATAAAACACATTTGTCTTACTTACTCTCTTGTTACTGGGACAAAATACCCGACATCCACAAGTTAGAAGAGGAAAGGTTAATTTCAGCTCGCAATTTGCAGAGGTCTGGTCCAGAGTCAGCTGGCTCCCAGGCAGGGTGACATGGCAGAGGGGCACGGCAGAGGACAAACAGGCCATGGCAGACAGAGGGCCGCAAGCCTGCCTTCCACCTTTCCCTTTTTATTCCATCCCGGCTACACATACATTGGTCAGGTGGGACTTCCCATTACGCACACCCAGAACTATGCTAAACCCATCAGGGGACTGACCCAGTCACGGCACACCCTTGATCCAGCATCGCACACCCATGATCTAGCCACCCCCCAAAGGCTACACCTATGAGCGGATGGGGCTTTGGGAGAACACCCAGATATACACCCTGTTATGATTTAAATTAGGTTTTCTCTTGCTCTATTTTTTTTCTTTTGGGCAGTAATGGTGATTTCGAGACAAGGTCTCACTAAGTTGTGACGTTACCTACGCTGGGTTCACATTTTCAACACTCTTGCCCCAGGTCCTCAGGGTTCTGGGATGGTAGGTGTGTACTGCCATGCCTGACCTATAGTCTCTTACTTTTATTTTTTTTTTCAGTACTTGTGATTTTTCCTGGGATGCAATGCATGCTAGGCATGTCCCCTACCACGGAGCTATAGCCCCAGCACTCTCTTATTTTTCACATCTAGTTCTCCTCCTCTCCTTGTGTCTGTGAACCCAGTAACATTTCAGAGATTGGTCATTGTACCTTTGTTCTCAGACCCATTCTCTGCCCTTCTGAAAATACCTCCTAGCTCCTTTGCCATCTGGATGCATACCTACTGGCCGATTCAGCCAGTGGGAGGTGCGGGGTTCCGCCTGGAGGTGACGGAATGCAGAAGCCACGGTAATCTTCTCGTGACGTTTTCTAGCAGTGGCTGTATCTCCTACTTGGTTGCTACTTTCTCTCATTCCTTGGTCTCAGGTCCTGCGGCCTACCTTATTCAGGCCAAGTCTTATTCTCTCTAGAGCCACAATAGAAAACTTGATTATAACCCTTTGGTCATTTTTACGCATAAACACATATATACTTATCTATATGGTATCTATACGCATATTTTCTTTTTGCAAAAATGGAAACATTATGCAACATTCTGCATCTTTTTACTTCAGTCTACCAATTTATACTGCTGTCAATAATGTACAAGATTGTGTGTTTGGGGCTGGGGATATAGCTCAGTGACACAGTGCCTTGCTTGGCAAGTGCAAGGTTCTGAGTTCAATTCCCAGTACGAAAAAACCCCCAAAAACAACAAAACCCCAAAAGATTGTGTGTTTCTCTCACTGTGAAGGAGCTGGATTCAATTCTCAATACCCGCTCCAAAAAGAAAGAATGTTCATTTCTCAGCTTAGGTGTGGTGGCACACATGCTAGAAATCCTAGCTACTTGGGAGGCTGAGATAGGAGGACTGCAAATTCCACACCAGGCTGGGTGAGTTAGTGAGACTCTGTCTCAAAATAAAAAGTAAAAAAGGGCTGGAAGTGTAGCTCAGAGTAAATTTAGAGTAAGCAATTTAGTGAAGTGAAGCCAAGCCCTGGGGTCAATCCCCAGCACTAAAAAGCAACAGAAAAACAAAACAAAGAAGTCTGAAAATCAAGCCACATGGTGGTACACGCCTGTAATCCTAGCATTCTGGGCAGCTGAGGCAGGAGGATCACAAGTTCAAGTCTGAGCAATTTAATGAGACTGTCCCCAAATAAATAAAAAGACCTGTAGCTGTAGTTCAGTGTGAATGCCTGGGTTCAATCCCTAGTACTGAAAAAAAAAAAAGCTTGAAAATTATCCTTGGTTCCTCTCACTTTCCCATTCCCTGCATCCAATCTATGAGCTAATTCTCATGGCTCTGTCTTCAGAATATACCAATCTCTGGTCACTTTCACTGCTGTCACTCTGGCTTATTGTACTATCATCTCTTCCCTCAGTTACAGCAGTAACTTCTACCCATTTTCTCCTTTTGCTTATGTTCATCATAGTAGTTAGAATAATTCTGTTAAAAATTTGGCTTATGTCCTTTCCCTGCTCAAAATTCAACTATGTTAACTCTAGGCATGGTGGGAGCACATCTGTAATTCCAGCACTTGGAAGACTGAGGCAGAAAGATTTTGAGTTCAGGGACAGCCTATGCTACACAGTGAATTCCAGGCAAACCTGAGTAGATAGCAAGACTCTGTCTCAACCCCACCCTACCCAAGATGAAATTACAGCCGGCATCCATGGTTTAAATCCTAGTACTCAGGAGGCTGAGGCAGGAGGATTGCCACGAGCTTGAGGCCAGCCTGAACTATAGAGCAAGACCCTATCTCAAAAACAAAACAAAACAAAGAAACACAAACAAGCAAAACAAAACAAAACAAAACAAAAAAACTGCTCAAAACAAAACACCAAAGATAAAAGACCTTCCAACTCCATAGGCTTTTAGATCATAGAGTAAAATGTCGAAACCCTTAAAGTGATCTACAACGTATGAGACTTAGCACCTGTTACCTCTCTGATTTCAGCTCCTATTATGCTGCTCTTTGCTTACTCCATTCTAGCCAGACCGGGAGGCTCACCATTCCCAGAAGTGAGCCTGTATTTCAGGACCTTCATACCTGTTGTTCCCTTGGCCTGGATTTTTTTTTTCCTCCTAGAAATCTTCCTGGGTCTACTCTTTACTTCTTTCAGGTTTTTACTCAGATGTTACCTTTTCAGTGAGGTTTTCTCTTGTCATTTTCTAAATTTCAATTACAAATAGTTTTTTGATGGTACTGGGGATTGAACACAGGGCTTTTGCACTGAGTTACATCCCCTGCCCTTTTATCTTGAGAGAGGGTCTTGCTAAATTGCCTGGTTGGGCTCAAGGCTGCAATCCTCATCCCTGGCCTCCCAGAGTGCTGTGATTACAGGCATCTACCACCACACCTCGCTCAACCATGAATATTTTCTGTCTCCATTTCCCTGCTTTAGTCTTTCTTTCTTCTTCTTCTTCTTCTTTTTTTTTTTTTTTTTTTTTTTCTTTTTTTTTTTTTTTTTTTTTTTTTTTGGTCTTCTTTTTGAGACAGGGTCTCACTATGCAGTTCAGGCTGGCCTGGAACTCACTTTGTAGCCCAGGCTGGTCTTGAACGTGCAGCAATCCTCCTGCCTCAGCCTCTGGGGTGCTGGGATTACAGGTGTGCGCCACCACACCCAGCCCTGCTTTATTCTTCTTAGCACTCATTATTAGTATATTTCTCTAGAGTGTGAGCACTACAAAAACACATTCTCATGAGATGTTGTTTGTTTTATATGCTGTTTTATCTCTAGTAGTGAGAAGAGATGCTAAAAATTTATTGAATGAACGAGTGAAAGCCCATTTGTGTATGGAGTACACGAGTACTTGTTACCTATTTCCTGATTTCCAAGCTCATATTTGACGTCTGTCTGAAAGTTTTGCCATCTTTTTATTTTTTTTTAATTTTTCAAAAATAGGAAACTCATTTAATAAATCATGGTATGTTGGCATACAATTAAAAAGTACAGTTACTTGGAATTTTTTGGTTTCTTTGAGACAGGGTTTTGCTATGCAATTCAGGCAGGCTTTGAACTCCCTTTGTAGAGCAGGCTGGCTTCGAACTCCAAGCAGTCTTCCTGCCTCAGCCACCTGAGTGCTGGGATTACGGGTATGTGCCACCATGCCTGGCTTATAATTTTATAAACTATTTTTTTTTGTACCAGGAATTGAACTCAGAACCTTGCGCTTGCCAGGCAGGTGCTTTTGCCAGGCAGGTGCTTTTGCCACTAAGCTATATCCCTGGGCCATTAGAATTTTAAAGATATAGGAAAATGTGTGATAGCAGTTCTAAAGTATAAAACAGTATGTACATATAATTCCATTTTTGAAAATGTGTGTAGGGCTGGGGATATAGCTTAGCAGAACAAGCACCTGCCTAGCAAGTGCAAGGCCCTAAGTTTGATTCCAAGTACCTAAAAAAAAAAAAAAAAAAAAAGAAAACGTGTGCATATATACATAAAAAATGGCCTTGCATGGTAGTGCACACTTGTAATCCCAGCACTGGGGAGGCTGAGGCAGGAGGATTACTTTGAGTTCAAGGCCAGCCTGGGCTACATAGCAAGACTTTGTTAAAAAAAAAAAAAGGTAAAAAATGCTATCTCTGGGGCCCAGGATATAGCTCAGTGGCATGGCACCTGCCTGGCAAGTGTGAGGTCCAGAGTTTGACTGCAATTTCAAAAAAACAAACAAATAAAAACAACAACACTATCTCCAATTTCTTGCTATGTAGCCCAGGCTGGCCTCGACTCACAGTGATCCTCCTGCCTCAGTCTCCCAAGTGCTGGGATTACAGGCATGCGCCACCATGCCCAGTGCTATCTCCAATTTTGGAGATTTTAAGAAATTTATATTTCGGATTTTTTTTTTTTTTTTTTGGTATTTTTGAGATGGTCTTGCTATGCAGCTCAGGCTGGCCTTGAGCTCACTTTGTAGCCCAGGCTGGTCTCGAACTTGCAACAATCCTCCTGCCTCAGCCTCCTGAGTGCTGGGATTATAGCCGTGCGCCACTACGCCCGGTCAACAAAGTCAATTCTTTTTTTTTTTTTTTTGTTTTTGTTTTTTCTCTGGTACCGGGAACCGAACTCACGACCTTGCGCTTGCCAGGCAGGCGCTTTTGCCGCTGAGCTAAATCCCCAGCCCCCAACAAAGTCAATTCTTAAATCACCACAGTTATTCTCTATTTCTTGGATCAATGAGACAAACGTTGATTTGCTAAGCTAATTCCTTCAAGCTAGTTTCTGGGGTCACTTTTCCTCCCAAACGGTCAGCATCAGTTTTAAGTCTCCAATTACTAAGCCTTTAAGGTTTTCTTTTTTCTTTTTGGTTTTTCTCTGGTACCGGGAACCGAACTCACGACCTTGCGCTTGCCAGGCAGGCGCTTTTGCCGCTGAGCTAAATCCTCAGCCCCAGGGTTTTCTTTAATATATTCAAAGATGCCATTTTTGGTAAAATCTGCTTGTACAATCTTCACACTTCTCCCTGTCGGCTGCTCAGTACCAGTGGCAATGGTCTGAAGTTTTTCTAGCATCCAGCTAAGTACAACATTGCGGCCTCATCTTGCCAGCTTGAATGAAGAAGCTTTTCCAGTGCCGTCACTTGCTCCAGTGACAACTCTCTTATACCTACAATAAATGGACACTTTCACAGCCTTTTCTGTGTGTCTTGTCCGGTTCTTTGTTCAGGACACCAAGAATCTGCCCACTGTCCCATGGATGGCAAGGAAGATAGGGCCACAGCTCTTGGGAGCTCAGAAGAACACATCTGGAGAATGTCACACACTTCACGGGGAAGGTCAGGCACGGCAGCAGCCAGTCTGTAGCGGTTTCAGTCCACAGCCGGCTGGCTCCTTGGCAGAGGGGCATGGCAGATGAGAAACAGCGCATGGTGAGCAGAAATTGGCAAAAGCAAACAAGCAAGGGACTTTGCCATCCTTTTAATCTCAGTTCCGCCAAATGAACTTACTGCTCATGGCTAATCACAGGTGGTCCCCCTGAACTATACCCTCAATTCCAGGTCATTCTTGTTTCAGTTAATAAAAGACTTCCTTTGTCATCATAACATTAAATCTTCCCATCCATAAAGAAGACATACAATAGTCCACTATTTCCTCTCCCATGTTAAGAACCTCTAAATCTAGTTGAACCTCTTTCCTAAACTTTACCCCAGTTCATCCCCTACTCTCCATCATCCATTGCTTCTGCTTCTAAGTATCAGTCTTCTACACAGTGTAGGTGTTTATATATAATCTCCAGTCCCCCTTTTCAGTGCCTGTAATTTATTTTTTTGGAGGAATTACATCTCTGCACTGAGTATGTAAAGTACGTGTATACTCCCACGGTTATTTTTCCAGTCTTGTTTTCTCTCCAGAATTTAAGTAGTAGACTGGATAATATTTGTTCTTTAAGGATGTGTGGCAGCTTTAACTCCAGATGCAGCTGCCAGAAAGGAGGCTGAATTCAGCAGATAGCCGGGCATGGTGGTGCACACCTGTATTCCCAGCACACGGGAGGCTGAGGCAGGAGGATCGCTGTGAGTTCAAGGTCAGTCTGGGCTACAAAGGGAGTTCAAGGCCAGCCTGAAGGGCACAGCGAGACCCTGTCTCAGGAAAGCAGAAAAAAAAAAAAAGACAAACAAAAACAAAAACAAAACAGCAGAAAGCAAATTGCGAATTCTAGATGGTTTCCTTAGTTCAGCAGGTAGAGAGCCACATATTTAGGCAGAAGTAAATTTCTCCAAAGCAATAGATTCCCGTTGGGGGAGGTGCCTCAGTGATAGCTTGCCTCACATTCTCCCTGTGGCACCTGTTGGGCCATGACTACTGACTTTTACTAGAGTTAACTGTTCATGCTTTCATTTCTCCCATTGATTAGGACTGGAATTGACACGCAAGGCAAGGCAAGTGTTCGCCACCAATCTACAGCCCTAGCCCTTGTTTAGGAATTTTAGAGAATAAAGATTCATCTAATTTAACTGCAAATCCTCTACGCATCCAATTCCAGCACACAACCAACAAACACCGAAGGTAGTGAAGGCCTGGGATTGGATTCTCTGGTTTCACCCCGACCGAACGTCAAAACTGGAGAGAGACTTAGAAGTCACCTTTGAAAATGTATTCATTTATAAACGGGGCAAGTGAGGCCTAGAGAGGGAATGACTTGTACCAGGTCGCTGACCCGGGAACAGAAAACAGACGTCTTAATTTCCGAGCGGGGCTCACTGCTGTCTTGGCGCAGGGCTTGGAGAATCAAAGCCCGTGGTTTTCCCCGCTTTGGCTTCCCCTCTGAGCCTGAGTCTTACCCTTTCAGTGACCCTTTCCTTTCTTCCTAACCCCAGGTCAGCAAGGTTCAATTCCAATTGCAACGCTCCAGGTGTCGGGAGTTGCTCCGCTACTGGAACGGGTTAGTTACGTCACCATCGGCTCCTCCCATTGGTCCAGGCGGGTGGGTCGGCGCCATGACGCCAGACGTCCAGGGGGCGGAGCGACGAGGGGACGGAGGAGGGAAGTAGGACTTCAACATGGCGGCTGCGGTAGTGGCGGTGGCTCCGGTGACGGCCTGGCCCGGGGTGGGCAGCGTAGGGGGTGGTGGCCTTCACTTTCCCTAGGGGCGTCGGGAGCTCAGCGGGGACCGAGCCTGGGAGGCCAGCCGTCGCCAGGACCTTTCGGCTTTGGGGACGGCAGCGGCGCTCAGGTGAGGGGGCCTTTCCGGGGAGCGGGAGGAGGGCGGAGTTGGGGGAGGGGCCGTACCCCGAGCTCCGCGCAAGGGGGACCCTGGGGAGGGGCTGCAGCCCCGCGGCGGAACGGGCTGGAGCTGCGGGGTGAGGGGG